TTTCTGTACAAAATTTATTTTTGAGTTTTAAACTTATTGTTTTGGGTCATAATTGATTTTCAAGCTTCCATATGCCTTCAAAACTTTGATTTGAGTTTATTAAACAATGTTTGAGATTTGAATTGTTGAATTTGGATTTCTTTTCAAAAAGGATTTGAGAAATTCTTCTTTTTATGAAATTTTACAATTTGTTAATCCTTTTGAGAGTTAATTCCTTGATTGCCATGTTTTAAAGTTAAGCATAGATTAATAAGGCAGACCTTACAAGTTAAGCGTGAAGAAGGGAGGTGGAACTTGGCTTTGGTATCAAATTAATGTAACATAAAAAAAGGGAAAGGGGAAGAAAGAGAAAGAGAAAGGAGGGGGAGATAGAAAGAAGGAAGAAGAAGGTCAAAACTCTTGAAAACTTTTATTAAATAATACTCAAAAGCTTAATACAAATGAAAACTCCTAACTCTATTTATAGAGCCCTAAACTAATAAAATAATAATTATTTTAATTCAAATATTAAATTTTAAATCTAAATAAAATCTTAAAGATATTGATATCTAAGATAGTAATGAAATAAATAATCAAAGTTGATTCTAATGGATTAATATCGTTATTTAAATATTCATAATAGATAACCCTAATATCTTAAATTAAAGCTAATTACATTTTATCTCATATTACACCGAGAGGTTCATTAAAACTCCTTCCCTCCCCTCCAACTAAATACACCTTTAAAGTTTAAGTCATCCATGGATTTATAATTAAGAGTTTATATTACTATTTAATCTTTTTTTAAGAAATATTTTCTTTTAATTGGTAATATTGAGATTTAAAATATAATAATTATCCAAACATTAAATGCCAAATCATTTGGCCTACAAATAATTATAAGAATTAAATTAAAAATTGCAAAAAAAATGTATTTCAAAAAATTATAAAAATTTGAGTTAAAAGGTATAATTTTTATCAATAATATTATCATTGGAATATGGAAACGAAACGGTACATTGTCAGGTTTCCCCGTCAATCAAGCAACGTCAAGTGTGATTGCCGGTCTTCAATTTCATCATTTCATGTTACGGAGGGCTAAAAAGTCATTTTGCAAATGTAAAAATGTGGGAACCTTTTGAACATGAATATAATTACTCTATTTTATTTATGTCATTTATTTATTTGAGAAATCTTTTTGTATCACTCTCCCTTGATACAATAACTTTTTTAATTTGCTGAGCTGAATTTTTAATCTATATTATTTTACTATTTATTTATTATTAGTTACTTATTATTTTATTATGTTAGAATGATAACTATAGCATCAAAAGCATGCAAATGCAATTATTCATAGAATGTATGAGGGAAATGAATCTCCCTTTTAATAAATGAAAAAAATCATAGCTAAAAATTTTTACTAGTAAGAAAATAAATTGGAACAATCAAAATTTTAATGGATAGAGTTTATAAAATAGGCCTTAGAGATTCACTAAAATAAAATCTATATCTTATTATATAAAATTTTATAAAATGAAAACAAAAAAGCAAATAGAGAAAGAGTTACCTAAATGATGATAATTACATAATAAAAGATGTTAGCCTCCATATAACGCATGGAGGATATTAACCTTCCCCTTAGGTGTCAATAAAAATAAAGGGCAAGCAGGAAAGGTTTTAAGTTCTATTTAAAAATAAAAATATTTTTTTACCTGAATTTAAAAATGAAAATCTAGATAAATAGGATTATAACATTTTAATAAAGAGAAAATGTAGCTGAAAAAAAAGTAAAATAAATTAAAAATTTCAACCAGATTTCTCCATTTTTTTAAAAATAGGACTCATCAAAATGCAAACGATATAAAAATGAAGTCAAAAAATTGAGACAACACAGATCATCCTTTTTAATTTGCTAACTTTGTTATATTTAAAAAAGTGAATTAAAATATAAATCAATCTTTAAAGTTTTTTCAGAAACATAATTGATATTTTAAAATATTTAAAAATATAATTCTACCTTTATGTTTTTTTTAAAACAGTACAAATTTGTTTTGTCTTTGGCAAAGAGCTAATTGATCGTTAACATAAGTTTTTTTTACTGTCAAATTTAATCTGGCAGCCATGTTGGCCTCCACGTGTAAATAAACTCCTTGTACCCTCGGCCCCTTTCACTTCCGTCCAAATCGTCATCCCCTACCTCTCCCTCTTCCACAGAAAATCTCACTGAGCACCACAGTTCCAAACCCATAGGAATCTCTTCCAAACATCTGTATTCGATGCCTCAGTCTCTCCGTTGAGAATGGATATACTCGTCTCTTCGACGTGCTTAAATTAGGAGACGATCTTCGTGGGGCGGCGAGAAAATGGGAGGTGAGGACCCTACAAAGGCTGATCGAGAATTAAGCGTCCATCAAAGGTTGGGAAGAGAAGAGATTCGGCGAATGACTTAGAAAACTCACTGTGAAGAACTCATATCGATGAGAGGTGTAAGGTTTGAGGAAGGTTAAAGCCTTTTCTCCAAGCCCAGTTTTAGATTGATTGCTCTGGGCTTCTCCACCATGCCTGAGAATCGATTTCGCATACTGTGTGATGAAAGGAGTGGAGGGATTTTGCGAATCCACTATTTGAGTTCCAAATTTATCGCTATGGGTTTCTCCACTATGCTTGAGACTTGGAATCAATTATGCATAATCTATGGCAAAAGGATTTAAGGGGTTTTGCAAATCCACTGTCCGATTTAAGGGAATCGAAAGGAGTTTCAGATTCATCTTCAAGCGAAGATGAAGGACAACGGAGATTCTTCGTTGATCAATGACAATATGGGTTCCAATAATTTCAGAAAAGTTCATGGCATTTCGCACACCTCATTGTGATTTGTATATTTCAAGATAGTTTTTCTATCATTCTCCCAAAACCCTTACATAATGGCTGAAGGATTATATCATATCTTATAATTAGGATTACATCAATAAGCCTGTGTAATGGGCATTACATACATTGATGCCAAAAGACGCTCGTACCCTTGTTCATCTTTCTCCTCTCTCTTTACTCACCACTGAAATCAAAGTCCAATTCTAAACCCCATCGTCCACCACTCTCAACAGTGAAGCGTTGCCCTCATCGTCCACAATCATGCTTGGTGAAGCCAGTGAGTGGTAATAGAACTAGATGGCAACGATCCTTTCACCACATTTCTCAAGCTTGTGTCACTGTTTTGTTCATTTACAGCCTTGTCAACGTCCTCCATTTGGGTTCCGTTGATTTTGTATTTGATTGAGATCCTTTTTTTGTATTTTTGAATTATTATTTTTGGTTATAAGTCCACTAAAAGAACCGTGCAAGAAAAAACATGTTTTGTCAAAATACAAAATATTTATGCAGCTTAGAGGAGGAGTATAAAAAATTTTAAAATCTAAATTATGATTAGAAGTTCAATGTGCCATCTAAATTATTATTAGAACCTTGATGAACTAACCAATTAGCTCATTTATTATAAACTTCTTTATGCAAGTGATCAAAAGTGGTCCTTTAGTCCCTCATGATTAAATTTCCCAATTCTTTTTATAATTTCAGTGAGAAGATGATTCTGGGGTGAACTCATGTGAAATGAGTATGAGAGTTTTTAGAGGCTCAGAATAAACTTTGACTTTAGTAAATTTGTTATTCCAACATATGTTTAAGCCTTCAAGAATACTTATAAGTTTAGCAACAATATTAGGGTGATAGCTAAGGTATTTTCTGACTTTCTTTATTCAATTTTCCTTGTTATTTTTAATGAGGCCGCTATAAGTAGCAACCCTATTGTTGTTGAGTGATCCATCAATATCAAATCTAACTTAACCTACTTCGGGAGACACCATTTAACTCTTAATTTTACACATCACAAAGAGAGACAATTTAGTCTTAATTGAAAATTGAGCTCATTGATAATATTTTAGGTGCTTGAAAATATGATATATTTATCAAAGATGTCTCCTACAAAATGGATCCTTTTGCATTTATCTTTTCATATATTCTACCAAACAAGTGCAACAACTCTTTGCCAAAGGGTTTTTCTTGTACATCAACCCCTTGCATACCACGCAGGAGACAATATCATCAGTATCCATATAATCAGAATTGGTAAATTTGGTTGGAGACAATACCACGCTGTTTTCTAGATGAAAGATTTAATCTTTTAATAAGTGGGTCATTTTTAAATCCAAGACCAAATTTTAGAGTTGATATCCCAATCATAAGAATAGGTGAATTTGATTCTTGATTTTGGATTTGGTTATGGTGAGGGCGACGGACATCGAATAAAAGGGAAGAGAAAAAGGTTTTTAGGAGGGCATTTTAGTATGTTCACTTCTATAATCATCTTATTATATTTCATTCCTCATCAATACTTCTCATTACATTATATATGATTCCTTGAACCAAACAATGAGCTTTCAATTCTCATTGCACAATTCACACCAAATCATTAGTTCAAACAATCAAAATTCAGAGAAATTAGAATGGCGCATCTGAATTGGAGATGTATAACAACATAAAATTCTCCCAACAACTTTCTCATATTTAGCTTAACTAAATTCACCTTTTTAATCTTAAACAAACTGACTCTAATTAGTGTTCCTTCAACTAAAACTAACAAGTATCCCTTCAACTAAAACGAAAAGGAAAGGGTAGAAAAAAGAGTCTAACTTATGCTTGAGGGTCTTGTAGGGACGAGACTAAACTCATTCTATCTCTCTCCCTCTTCACTTCAGCTGAAATAAAGTCTTTTCACTTTAGCTGAATTTAGTTCAGATGATCTAACTTACCATATTTGAAGCTTCCAAACTATTCTTAGCTAATATGCAGTTGTCCAAAGCCTATCAAAAGTTGATTATCTGCTGCATTTATACAAATAAAAAATATATATATACACAAAAGGCTAAAGAGATATAGCCAGGTTTTTTCATCGTATGAACTAAAATTCAGTTATAAAATGGTGATAAAAGGTCAAAATTTTGATTCATATAGACCCATATCACAGCTTGTAAGCTTCAAATAATTTAATACTCATCATAATTTTCGAAGATTTTCGGCATTTACAAGTGGTGAGGTTAATAATAGCAACATATTGATCAATAAATGTAAAGTCTGGGCATGCAATTGAAATTAATGCTGCATTTACTTTGAATTCCTAATTGAAACCGATCTATTTATCGGAAATGGGCTCAAAAGCCCTGTCTTGAAACAGTAGTCTAGACCAACTGCAGCAAAAACAAAAATAAGAAGATTCTCAGACACATAGGTTGTGCCATTCAGGGCATGTGATAAGAAGCTCTCATAGTTCAGTTCAAGAAGTGGTCCACCGCTCAAAGTTGCAAGACCTGCATCACATCACAAATTTGTTTCAACATTAATTCTAAACACATATTGCATTGCTTTGACAAAACATCCATCTTATAGCCATTGAAGAAGAGAGACGAAAATAACATGTCTGGATTTAAATTGATTTCAACGAAAGGGGAAATAAAAAGCCCTTCTATCAACTCCCTCCAAAAACAAGAACTTAGACCAAAAGATATCCCCTCAACTATCAGATTTAAAACCTTCCTTCCATTTTTCTGTTAATGGAGATTCAAGCCAAGCTCTGTCACTTGGCATGTGGCACACTCTTATTCGTCTAGAAACCACAAATGACAGAGTTTGAGGAAACTGGATGAACAGAAAAAATGGACCAAAGGTTTATTTTGTAAAGAATGGTAGTTGAGGTGTTTTGCAGATAGCTCAAGAGGAAGTTGTATTTTTCCCACATTTTTATGAAATAAAGCCAAATTCCATATGCACAATAGCCTGAAGGTTCAAATTCTAGAAAGTAACAGTTGAGGGTGGTCTTTTCAAATTGCACCAGAGGTATCTGTATTTTCAAATTTAATCATATTTAACATGTAAATGTGGTGACTACCTTTAACGACACCAAAAGCTGCTGCTGTTCCAGTCTTAAGCTGAACATCATCCAAATTTCTCCTTACAGTGTATCGGAAGGTCACTCCAAACAATGCACAGCTAATGAAATTAATTGCCACAGGGAGAATCAGTTGAGTAAAGTTGGAGGCCTGAGTCAAGCATATGGGGAGCCCTGCAACGGTACCTATAAAGGCAGAAATAGATGCTGCCTTCACTGATTCCAACCTCTCTTTATCCCTGTCAATTTCCTCAGTTTTGCTCCCCATGGCTACATTCCCATCTTCAAGTTCTTCCCCATTTAGTGATAGAGAGCGTTCTGCTTCCTCAACCAACGCTTTTGCCTCTGATATTTCTCGTTGACACTCTGCAATCTTGCATACAAGCGGTTTTCATTAGTAATGATTCAAGAATACAAAAGGAATTGAAAGAAAGCTTTGCTGTGACATAGGGTAGCCTATACAATATTTGAAAATCCTTGGGGTTCAGAAGGATAATAATCTACTGATTATGAATACTATCTCTTGTATATCACAGATATAGGGTAAAGTTGTGCAACATGTCTTTTTATATGATGGTTAACAAGAAAGCAAGAAGCAATTTCTTGGTTTCAGAGGGACTTCTGGCCCTTTAACTTACAGCTGTCTTCTTCCTCCTCTCTAAGGAAATATGGAAACCAAAGAAGGCAGTCAATAAAATAATGTTCGCAAGTCCTTTGATTCTATATATTAGTCCTACGTAATAATTCATTAATAGCATAAAAATTTAATAGTGATTGAATTTATAAGTTGCGTCTTCACTTTGCCACCCAAACCCTTTCCTCCTCTTTCATTATGGTTATGCATTACTGTAAACTGCACATTTGGCCATGCTTCTTTCTCTTTTCCCTAGAACGTATCCTCCTCAAATTTCTACTCCAGAAAGTGTAAGGCTCTCAATTTTGCATCCTAATGAATTTTCCTCAAGCAATTCAGGCATATAGGAGCAGGACGTGTTCTTCTTGCTGACTTATGGGGATTTTCACTAGTTCGGAAATTGCTTGATTGAGTGGCCAATGGCCATATAAGTATCTTTGATGGAGGCTAATTCTTTGGTGGTAGTCAAATTCAACAATAATGGATGCTCCATTTGTCATCCTTGCCACCTAATGTCGTTCAGACTCTACAGCTTTTGAGTAGGAATTGAACAGTGACAACAACAAAGTAAAGGTGATAACTAATCAATGGCAAAGTGGCTTGCCAAATGATCATGATTTAGAAAAGGAAGGATACTACTTACTTTCATAGGTTGTTCAAAAAGAATAACCAGAGATCAAATTGAGAACTCTAAGACAGTAACCATGAATACTGCATTTTAGTATTTTACACCAAAACAAAACTAACAAAGTAAGACTATATTACCTCCATAGCTTTGCCCTCAAGCTGGTTGATGTAGTCCCTGAACTGCTTGGCGGCACGTTCTTGTTCTTCAATCAACGCGAGTTCTTTCTTGGCCATCTCAACCCTCAGCGACGCCTTCTCTAACCCATCAAGCAAAGCCCTATTCTCCTTCTTGCTCAACAGCTCCTGCACTTGCTCATCCACCATGCCTGATACTGCATCCTTGAAATTGATATCACTGCCATTGTTATTAATTTCCTCTTCTGTGCCGCTTCTGCACTTCAAACTTCGGAATCTGGATCCCAAATTTCTCTGTGCCCACAATTGTGGTGTAATGGACTTCACCGAAAACGGAAGTCGAATTCCACTTGGATTCATAACGGTACTGCCCATATGGATCATCTTCATTGCTGATTGTGCGTTTTAGGCACAACCACTGAAGATTCCTCTTCTATCTGCTATCCCCTCAGGCTCTCGTGTTGTGCGGTTCTGAAAAATGCTCTAGATTACTTGAGTTCACTATTTTTGGGTGTTTTCTGCAAATGATTTTGAAAAGTTATTTTTACTTGTTTAGGCTCTGTTATGGGGTAAAGATATAAGGGGAGAAAATTATTAAAAGAAACTAGATATAATTTTTGTTTGTTAAAATAATCTTGTAGAGTAATTTTTCTAAAATAAATTTTGAAAAAATATGTTTAAATAATTAAAATATTATTGTACAAAACATATTTAAAATGATGAAATGAAAGGTTTGTACCAAAAAGAAAAAAGAATTGAAGCGTAAAAGAATTATTTATGCTTTTTTTCTAATTTTGTATAAAAAAATAATAAATTGGCCCATTAGTTGGAAAAAAAATTGTACATGCAAAAAATATGGATTAAATTTTTAAAAATTTGGGAGTATAATCAATTTATATTAATATACAAAAAATTTATCATTAAAAATTTAAAAATTTATAAGAAATTTATTATTGATATACACTAGTATATCATTGATAAATATAATAAATAGATCATAATGTAAAATATAATACATATTTGACTATATGCTTAATTTAATCTTATAATATAAGTTATATTTACAAAAGCCTCTAATCAACACATAAAAAAATATTATAGTTTTTTTTGTTTTTAAAAATAATTTTTATTTTTTGGCTTTGTGATAAGATAGCAAAAAAAATATTTTCAAAAAAGTTTTTTTTAAAAAAAGTATTTTTAAAATAGAATACCAAACCAGCCCAGTTAATTTTTTTAAAATAAGGAAAAATTGAATGAAAAATTTTCTAAGAGAAAATAGTCTTTTTTTTCCTTTTATTTTTCTATTCTAATTTTCTCTCCTTTTTATTTGGATTTAAGGATCATTTTTATTTTTAAACTTTTCATGTCTGCAGGGGTCTTGAACTCAATTTTAAATCATTTTGCTCTTGAACTTTAAAAATTTGATATTGTATTGTCATACCATTCACATGCCACTTGTTGATAGTTATCTGTATAGCTGAACATGTTTGTTGACTTTTTTGGGCAACATGACATCCTAATGGATACCCAGTTAGAATTAAATAGGATTACTTTTATCTTTGAAATATTTTCTTAGGAGGACATCGTGTCTTGAATTAGATTTTTTGAACCATTTTTCTTTTAAATGTTAAAAAATCTAACTACACATGTCTTAAAATACATCCACTTAGATGTCATGTGACTTATTAAAAAAAGAGTCAGTAAAATACATCCAACTAAGCATATAATGGTTAACAAGCAGTGTTTTGGTGTCGAATTTACATGTTTCAAGATAAAAATAACTTAAAATTGAATTCAAGGTAACTATAGACCTTATGTGAAATGTTTGAGGGCAAAAATATACTTAACTCCTCTTATTTCCTACTTGTTCCAAATGAAAGGTTAAATTTGAAAGACCGTGGGTTATTTTTTATCATTCCCCACCTTGAATGATGATGGTTGGACTTTTTGCTTTAAGTTGTTGTATTAGGTTTTTTCAATTTATGAATGCATTTCAGTTTCAATTTTTTTTTAAAAAAAGAGGAAGGTTAGAGAACCGTTTTTTTTTTTAAAAAGAAAATTGCTAAGATGTTGAATATTATTTTAAAAATATTACGGATAAAAAATGAGAGTGAAAATATAATGAAATTGAATGGATTAGATCATAATAGAATGTTTATTATGTTATGAATCTGTTTAATATTAATAAGAATTATAAAAAAATATGTTAACAGCAACCAAAAAAATATATTCTTTTACATTTAATTAAATAAAAATAAAATGAAAAACCAAAAATGGCTTAAATAGTTTTAAAAAGATTTATAGTTAGATTCTCAAATTTCTTTTTATGAAAATTAGTTGCAAATATTTCAAATAACTACAAATGTAATAATATTAGATGCAAATAAGATAATTGCAACTTACAACTGTTTAAATTAATATTTATAATTTATTTTTTAACTTTTTTAAAAATTTAACTGTCATTAATTCAAATATTTAAATTGAAGGGTTAAAGACCATTTTCTCTCAAAATTTTTTTGAGGAGTGCTAAACACCCGATTAGAGGTGCTTATTCTAACCAAGCCTAACGAGTCAGCTCAAATAAGCTCAAAAAATTTTAGGATCAAACTTAGGAGTTGTAATATTTTTTTTATCCCAAGTTTATTTAGGTTGCTCAAATAAACTTGAAAAACTCCATTTAAGCTTGAACTCATTAAGCCATTTGTTTTGATGATCATAAAATTAAAAGAAAATGAATTTGTTACTTGTGTAGATCAAATGCTAAATCATGAAGTAACAAAACCTTCAAAAATATGAAGATTAAGAGAAGACTTAGTTTCATAGATTTAATCTTTTTATTTCTTGTTTTAAATTCAATGTGAATTCTAAGGAGAACTATTCACATGATTAATATGATAAGAATGCATCTATTAGAACATACCTTAGGCTTATAAGTCCTTTAAACTTCATTGTTAAACTATTAGAATGCACCCATATTCATTTGGTTGATCCATGAAAGTTCTAAGAAATATTTAATTCGATTATGCAATTAAATTGCAGTTCAATTATGCAATTTAATTCATAGGCTTCAAGCACTTCCAGTCTTTTTCACTTGACAAAAAATTCAAAGTAGGAGAAATATTTACTTGCAATTATTAAAATATTTAATAATTTTTAGAACTTAATCCGTTCTTCTACATGTTTCAATCTTTTGTTCTTTTTGCACAATTTTGCCAATGTTGGTGAATTATTTTTTGTTTTAAGACAGGGATAGAAATACCCTAGCTCAGTGGTTGACTTTGCTGCAGAATAAATTCGAGAAGAAAGAAAGGCGAGAAGCCTCTATCTTTATTTCGTTCAGATTATATTTGTCATTATAAATTATGCATAAGTTGCTAAGTCTAAGAAATAGAGTGGTAGATATGGGCTATGATATAGGAGGGGGATCCATGACTAGTAAGCCAACATGTGCATAGGAGATCACAAGTAAGAAAACACGCATGGAAGGTGCATGACATAAGTGAGGAGGCAAGCATACATGGATCCGACGTCCTCAAATTGCATGTTCTTGTAATCTCTTCACTTCTTTTTTTTTTTTTTAAATACCTTTCTGCTATGCCATTTAGTTTGAACTGCAATTTGTTGATTTGTATCTTAATGTTGTTAAAGGGCAATGAAATTGCTTATAGGATCATTTGGAATTAGAAATGGGATGCTTAGTGGTGAAGAGTATGTTTTTAAAAATTAAAACTCTTGTGTCTGAAAACAAGTATCTTATTAAATCGCAAGTGGTAAGTTCCTCGTAAAGATACTTGAAATTTGTTTATGTATTGATGATAATTCTTTTAGAGGGGTGTTTGATGATAATTGAAGTATATATCTGTTATGTTGATGCAATTTTAGTCAAAAGTCTAGTTGAAGAATATTTATGTATTTATACTGGTTTTGTAAGTAAGAAATGTATAGTTATAAAAGGTGGTTGTTTTTTTTTTTAATAGCAATTATGACTACAGTAGTATAGCATAACTGTGGCCAAAATAGTCCCATAAATGGTTATATGCACCAATTTTCATCACAGGTCAAGCTTGGACTTGTGGCCATAATTACTAATTACAACAATAGGCCAAGCTCTGACTTATGGCCATTATTGCTTCATTTCCACTACAGTTCTGCCATGACTTGCGGCGAAAATTCTTCTATTACTGCTACACTTATTTCTACTACATACCATCTTGTGTTGCGAAAACAAGTGTTTAACTATAGTAAAAATTGCTTTTTGCACTATATGTGATCATATGATTTTTTGACTACTTGCCTAATTGTGAAATTGATTTGAATGTGTATTTTGTACCTTGAATTATATACAATGTGGTTGTAAAGTTTATATAGAGCTAAAATACTAGTACAAGTAGGAAGAAGATGTGTAAATGTTTGGGTATTATGAATTATATGATGACTTATGAGAATTTAGCTCCCCTTTATGTTTTTGTGATCAAGGGGTTGAGCATTGAAATATGAGATATGTGTTGTTTGATTGTCATGGTATATCGCACAAGTCCTGTATAGTCCATTAAATGTGATCTATGAGTTTGTAACAGCTTTTGGCACTTGAGTTGAACATTAGACACCCAAATTGTGTGATAATGTTATAAAGTAGTGAAATTAGAAATGGGTGTCTAACTTTTGATCAAAAAGTGATTTGAATGTAAAACTAATGCCATTAGCGAGATATCAGAGAAAGCTTTTTACAGACACCTAGATTACCTCAATCGAATGTTGAACAAAGAAATGGGATGCGTCGAAAATTCACCATAGGAGCTATTATTTTGGATACTTCCCCTCTCCTTCAAGCTCTTTTTTGTACAAAATATAATCATTAGGACATGCGTGTATCTTTTTATTCTTTATACCTATTGGACACAAGATCCTCTTGACATCATGGTAATGATTTGGTGGTTCATTGTCTTCCAAGAACATTTCTTTAGGCAATTATGTAAAACTCATCATTCTGCCCACTTCGTTCCTTCAAGGTAACCAATTTTAACACTGTAGACAATAGTTTGTTATTGTAGCACCCTTATTATATAGGTCTCTTTATGTCAATACACAAGTTATCATACACATGTTCTTGCTCAAAGGCCTCTTCCCCACAATCACGAATCATATTCTCTAATCAATCTTCATCTACATCTTACATCATCAATATTATCAACTCTCACATATTGAGATGCACTGGGTTTTTTCAATTGTTCATCATGCCAAATCCATATGGTACAATTCTTACAAATTCTATTACAAATCAAGTGCTCTCTTATTTCAGCAACACCTAGTGTAACACTTGCCCTAAGTGTTATCCAAAAATCACATAGTTCAAATAAACTAAATGTGGTTAAGGAGTTGATCCTCTAACCAACTTAAGAAATAAATCATTTAAAACCTTAAAAAAAATTATAGGTTCTACCTATAGCGTATAGAAGCAAGCTAGATAAAAGTAGAATAAAAAGATGTTATCATGACAGCAATAAAACAGCCCTCCTGGGCCAA